GGTGTACTGTGTATTAATTACAGTCCTTATCGAATGGGAAATATTTTCCTTATAAGTCTTATCTTAATTATTACCTGTAAAAAAATCCTATTACTTTATAATATTTGAGTTTAGAATAAGGGATCGAATTTTTTAATATAGAATATAGATAGATAATTAAAGAATTTAGTACTCATTTTAGCATATAAATACCCAATTTATATGCATTAATAAACGAAATTAAGGAGTGAGTTAATTGAGTTAAGGAAATTAATTAATTAATTGAATATTTTAGACGTATATAATTTATTTATACACTTAAAGTTATATCATTATATCCTATAACATCACAGGATATCTATTATATATAAAATCAGTTAAATTTAGTTTTACTTTAAAATATAGGCCTAAACAAGAAATTTTTAACAAAATTATTTATGATAATAAAGCATTATAAAATATAAAATGACAAATTTTGATATAATGACTTTAATTGGAATAAACTTAATGATTTCGTGAATCATTTAGCGAGGAAAATTCTTAAAATTTCGGTCAAATCGTGAATCAACACTAACCTTATTTTGTAAACGTAATTAAACTTTGACACTAAAGTATATATTATTTTAATTTTTAATACGAAAAGAAAGCATACTTTAGGCCTGTAATTTATAGGCCTGTGCCTGTTTTCTTTTCTACGCGTTAGTCCGAATTAATAATTAGATTTATAACAATTATAAATAATATAAAAAAACTATCATCTTTACCGGCCTAAGTGTTTACATTAATATGATTAAAACATATTTAATTTTGAAAATGGAAGTTTTCTTGCAAAATTTATTGAATAGATTTTTATTATTATTATTATTATTATTATTTTAGTAGCTTAATTAAGTTATAATTAAACCTTAATTAAGAATTTTTAATTAAAATAAGCTAGAGATTACATTGAAGAATAGTGTAGTACAGTCGACCTTCCCTATAACACTGTTGATTATTCCGTTTTATATGAATTCCATGTTGTACGAGTCACTTAGATTTTACAATTACGTAAGCCGTTCACAGCCTGGCACAGGTATTTGTAAAATCTAAGTGACTCGTACTACATGGAATTCATATAAAACGGAATTATCAACAGTGTTATAGGGGTGTCGACTGTAGTGTAATACAATAGGCTTTTAGTTATTAAAGGATATTACACTACTTTACTGTAATTTTGAGTACAGAATAAGAGGCCTAGATCTATAATTTGTAAAAAAAAAAATTTCTTCAAATTTCTATTATTTTTTGTATAAAATAGTTATTTTAAATCAATAAAATAGTGTTTATTTGTAAGATGTAGGGCCTATGTAAACAAAAGAGTTACATTAAAAATTTATTTTCTAGGCCTATCATTTATAATCTCATTAGCTTAAGTAACTATAATTATCTTTAATTAGGCCTTTAGAATGTTTATTGCATTTAATCATCACAAAGAAACTTCTTGAATATTAAGCATTGTAAATATTCACTGATCATCTTTATGAATTTCAAGAATACTGTACTTTAATATACTTTTTACATTATATTGTTTAATAATTAAACTTAATAATACTTCATTAAGAAGAAAATCTTTAGTTTTTGATAATAGAAGTTAATTTTAAAACGACTTATTTATTTATATTTATATTCACAAACAAAGATCAAGAGTTGGAGTTAGAAGTTAACCAATAAGTGTTCTCATATAATAAAGTGAATGGTAATTGGTCAACTTCTAACACTTGATTCTTGGTTTGTGAATACGGCCGTTAATATGGAGTTAAGTGGCTCGAAATGCTGGGAAAGTAAAGGTATATTCATATTAAGAATAAAGGGTCGAATTTAATTAACGAGCTTGAAATAGTGTATTTTAAACCCGAAGAATATAAACTGCTTTAGTGTAATATGTTGATGTTTTTTTTTATGACAAAGAAGTTATCCTTGTTCTATTAATATAGCCTACTCTATTTTCATAAAATGACTAACTACATCGATTGTTGCAATACATTTATTCACACACAATCATCTAATTCGTCTACAAACTGGTAAAACCTTCCTTCTCACTGTGAAAAATCACATCGACCATTCCGCCGTTTGCTGATGGTCACGTGATTCCGTTATGTCCAATCACTGGTTGGATTCTTCCAGTCTTGTTTTTATAAAATAACTATGTACAGCACAACACGAGACAACTAAAAACTCGAAAGGCCTATGGGCCTTTAGGCCGGAAGCCTATTTACAATTGGTTTCAGCAAATAGGGGAGGCCAGAGTGGGTGGTGAGAGATAGGTGGGTCTTTCTCCGGGTGGGTGGTGACGTGAAGAAGGTGACGTATTGGAAGGGCCTCCTGTTCCGTCGGCCCAAGGTTGCAAGTTCTGAAGGGCGTGCAACGATGCATTATTGATACACAAAGGATCTCGCACACTTTCATACAGAGTCTTGGAAACCACTTCTGCTTGAAGTGACATCATTAGCCTATTAGCCGCTTGCCTTTCTGCTTCTCTTTCTTCTGCAGTCTGCCTCCTATAAAGAAAAGAACATATTAATTTGAAAAATAAACGAATAATTTATCATTTATTACCTAATAAAGTATATGAGCTAAAAAGTAAGATTTTAGGATATAAACTTAAGAATTGTTCAATTGAATTTGGCTTAATTAGTTAGAAACACATACCTAAGTGTAAAATAATAGAATTAAAGTAACTAAAATTAAGTTTTATGAATAAATAAAGTCTTCATTCTTCAATTTAAAAAAGTCCCTCTTAGCCCTTCGTTGAAGAGTAAGATCTATTTCTCAGTATCGAAGAAGAATTTGATTAATTTTAATGTAAATCCTTTAAAAAAGTTATGCGATTTACGTCCCTTTGAATGTAATATTTTGAAAACAATATTCATATTTCATCAGTGATTAACGTGTTCGTGTTATCAATTGATGTTTCAATTTTAAATGCATTCGTTTATAGTACGAATTTTGGCCATATTAATATTGTCCTAGTTGAGGAAATAGAATAATTTTAGCTTTCAATTCTGTAGAGGCCCGTGACGCTAAATGATAGCTTTCCACTTGTAAAAGCTGATAATCGATCTCGTTCGAGAAGGATCGAGAATAAACTTTGTGCAAAATGAGTGAAAGTTTTAATAATTAATTAGATGGTTGAAGTGTCGAGTGTCGACTAGCTAATTATCTATTGGCCAGAATTCGCCAATGGGAAGTAACTAGAGATTTAAGCATTAGGGAGTCGTTAGCTACGAGGCCCCACCCTCCCAGGGCGTCCAAAGCTTATCGTGGATGAGATAATTCTATTAAAGATTCCTATCCTGGATAATCACGGTCATTAAAAATCTTCAACTGAGAAAAGTCAGTCATGCAATTCGCTCATTTCCATTGGCACTCCACCTAAAGTAACGATTGACGATTCTTTCCTTCATCTTATCCCGGATGACGTAATGAGGACGATGCAAAAATTGGGTGGAGTTCAAGATACATTTTATTAATCACACTTCATTTGACGAATTAATAAGTTAAAAGGGGATTGCCAAACTTTGCTTATTAAGAAAATCACTAGATGGCGCGATAACAAATGGGTATCGAGGGATTCCATACGAAGAGCAAAATCGTGAATAATTGGAGAATAACGATTTGGCCCGATTATTTGTCTATAGGCCTACAGGCAAATTACTAGCTTGTTGTCGAGTTAAAGCTAAGGCAATTCGGCAAAGGCGTGACACGTGCAACGATTATCGTACTTCTACACCTAAGTCAATCGTGATTTTTATCTACCAACGGAAAACGGAAACTATACAAATTTTTAGTCTTTGACTTAAATGTTACTACATTTATTGAAGAATAACCAGTCTTGATATTTTTTTTCGTAATTATATGCATATAAAAACTACTGTTCTATTAATTCTGTTATCGACATTATCAGTACAATTACAGTTTGGTTAATTTCTTGTTAAAATTATTCATTTTTATTGTTTTAAATCTTCTTATCTTACATTTTAATCCTGTTACTTTTATCTTATAATTGGATAGTATGTAATATTTACATAATAAACTGCACCCCGAGCTTATAATGTCATAAGTATAGGCCTATATCCCGATAACTGTAGATGATCTACAATCCATATCTTATATCCTACACAAATTATATTATGGGTGAACAAAGTGATTGAAGAATAGATAGGATTTAAGGAAGGAAAAGGATTGTAAGAATCGTCTCACCTCCATTTAGTCCTCCTATTTTGGAACCAAGTCTTGACTTGAGCGTCTGTCATTTTTAATTGTTTAGCAAGGGCCGCCCTTTCGGCAGAAGCTAAATATTTCTGTTTATGGAATCTCTTCTCTAATTCACAGATCTGCATCCTGGTGAAGGACGTTCTTGGCTTTTTTCTCTTTGGAGGCGTCCTGTTCTGATACGGGTGACCGATTCTCCTCGGAGTCACCGGAGCTAGACCTACGACAAGAGTCATTAAAGTAAAAATTATGTATACTTAATGCTTGTATAGCTACTTGTGTTTTGTCTCTTCGATTAGATTTGAATTTAAAAAATAAATGATAAAAATTTATAAATTTAATTAGATTTTTTTACCTCTTTTTTTCATGTATAAATAATGAATTTTTATGCTCGGTTATTACTTAAATTACAGGAAATTTATACTAATAAATGAAAATAATGTGACGTAAACCGATACTTGTTTTTAAATTTAAAAATTATAAATCACGTGAGGATGAAATAACTACAATTATCACGTGACGAATGGCCCGGGGAGAAGTTAACGATGTATGAAATGAATAAAAGCTTCATTGTGTGAAATAAAAAGAAAGTTATTATAATTTAGAATTTAAAATAATAATAATAATAATAAAATAAATTATTTTGATTTAATACAAATCTTAAAAATAAGAAGCTCATCTGAGTTGAAATTTTATAAGAAAATCGAAATATTTTGGATTAAAAGGGCAAAGAATTTATGACAAAAGCCTCTTCGACACGGCCAGATTTACACATAAGCTAAACAAATTAATACAATTTAGGCATCACTTTACAATAATACAACTTAAATCTCATATTTTTTAATCTTATTGTTGCTTAGTGAAGTGTGAAAGGCCTTTTATAAGTTAGAGACTTGGTCTAGTTCGTCTTTGCATTTCAGAGATCGAAGAGGTTCGGATCACTCACTTTTTGAGCTTTAGCTGCAGTATAATAAAAAAAAATGAAAAAGCATTTTAAAAATTGCATAATACAATTATAATATATATTTTAAATAATATTATTTTATTTAAAAATCGTCTTTTCAGGCTTTATAAGCGGTATCCGACAAATGGCCTCGTGTTATAGGGCGTATTATCAAATGGAAATTTTTTATAAAGTTAATTGTTTTAAAGACTTAAAATAGTATAAAATTTTAGTTTTTAAAGGAAACAATATTTTAAAACCATTTTTAAGCATAGAAAGTAACTAATGGAGGAAGTGAAAATAAAATTCACATGTAAACATTTCATTAAAGATACGAGCACCTAATTATATAATTTTTTTTACTCAAAGTTATTCATTTCTGTGAAGTAGAACAATTCTTTTCCGAATAGTAAATGTATAAAGGATCGAAAGAAATTAGCTAAAAGGAAAAACTAACAATAGCTTCATTTCCTTTAACTTCTTTAAAGATAATTAAGGTTATTCTTACCTGTTAAATAATAAAAATTAATGCAATGTATACTTTAATATTTTAATAAAAAATAACAATTTATTACATAATTTAATAGATTAAACAGTATTAAAGATCAGATTTATCAAAACTAGGCCTAGAAAGATGAAAAATAGGGCCATTTGACCATGATCTACATATAGAAGAGCCCAAAATTTAATATTTTATATAAGAAAATAGTTATTTTACTAACTAATTGGTAAAAATTTTGTTTTTTTAACAGTTTATTAATATATTTTCATGTCTTTCAAAGAGGGGTGAGACCCGCATTTGTAAGTAATGCGGGTCACTTCTCACTTCTCTCAACCCGAAATATGTATTTTCTGAGATATCGAAACAACTTATATTAAATTTAAAAATTCTTATTTAATTAAGTTTATGAAAATTTAATGTTATTTTATGTATAAAAAAATAAATTGAGCTACTGTTAAGCTTATCGAACTACAGTAAGAAAATTTCCATTACTTATAATTACAATACAATACTGTCAATGAAAACTACACTCCCACTTTTATTGAACAATAATTTAACTGTCCTAGAAAGATTTAAAATGAGATAAATTAATTTTTTAACGCCATAAATAAATTCGAACAAATTGCAGAATATTTAATAACTGGGAAATGGAAAAGCGTGATTGAAAAATTCTAAGAAAAAACCTTATTAATAGTAGTGAAATTAATTAGAAATTATGCTTCGCTGCTTTATTTCTATAATTGTCTGGACTACTTTTAATTGAATGAATCGACAAAGAATTTTTTGACCACCAAAAAAAAAAAAAAAAAAAAAAAAAAAGTGCAACGGATAATAGCAAGGTGAAAATTCAAGGCTGGTCACATGACTAAATTCCCTATTCTGTCGAAACGATAGATAATAATAGCTAACAAATACCTTTAAAACATATTATTATATCTTATTATCGATAGATTTGACATTTTCGAGCTTTTGCTTTATCCTTTCAATCAATTTAAAATGCCTGTAGATCTTTCAACCATTGGCTTTACATAGTTAATTAAACTAAAAAAAAAACATACTTAAAATATAAGTTTTAGCTATAAAAACGATTATTTTTAACAATAAAATAATTTACATTATTTAATTTTAATTATATTTAATAAATTTCTTAGATATTTTCATGCAAATTCATCAATTATTAATTT